AACTTGATAAATAAAATAATTAAATGATGATGAAATTGAAAAAAAAAACCTTAGATTTTATAAATTATTTAAAATAAAATAAATATAATAAAAACTATGAACAAAATCTAACAGATAAAAAAATAATAAATTAAAAAAAATCAATTTTATAAATTATTTTAAATGAGATAAATAACAATAAAAGTAATAGGGATCAAATAAAACAAAAAAACAAAAAATTAATTAAGAAAAGAACAAGAGAAAAACAAATAATAAAAAAATGAAGACTAAAGTAGATTTAAAAATCAAATTAATTTAAATTCTAACAAGCAAAATTAAAATAAATAAACAAATAAAAAATAATTCAAAATAAAATATATAACAATCAAGAGATTGAACATCAAATTTGACATAATAAACAAATAATTTTTTTTATTTTTTTATAATTTTTTAAAAATACATTCCATCTAAAATAGAAAAAAATAAATTTAATAAAAATCAAATAAGAATTTTTTTTTTACTGGAAGGTGTTTGAAGTTTACCAGCTTTTGTAGAAGACTAAAGTATATTTAAAAATCAAATTAATTTAAATTCTAACAAGCAAAATTAAAATAAATAAACAAATAAAAAATAATTCAAAATAAAATATATAACAATCAAGAGATTGAACATCAAATTTGACATAATAAACAAATAATATATATTTTTTATTTTTTTATAGCTTTTAAAAAATGCATTCTATTTAAAATAGAAAAAAAATTTAATGGAACCGAATAAGATTTTTTTTACGGGAAGGTGTTTGAAGTTTACCAACTTTTACAATAATAAATAAATATTTAAATGTTTTGAAAGTAGTTTTTAGAAACAATTTGACTTAAAAACAAAATAGAATTGGAGGCAGAGTCAGCAATCTTGTTGATGTAAAAAAGTTCTTCTTGTATTTGAACTATTCAAACTACAGAGGGTCGTGACTAACTTACAAGTTTTGAAAACGCCATTTTGTTAAAAAACAAGATTTTTCTTTAAAAAAATCCATTAAATTAAAAGTCTCGCGTTGCACTCTGAGAAGGAGCGACGGCTGCACCACTCTCTAGCCCTTGCCTCTGCCCACTATAATGAACTATATAACCCTCAATCAAACTGAGGCGTCGAATTGTAGAATATCGGTAATAAAAACCATTTACAAAAACTTATTTTGAAATTAATGATATTGTATATAAAAAGGTTATCGATGATTACGTTGCTAGCTTGATAAATAAACAGTCACGGGCCATGTTTCTAGTTTTTTAGAGAAGAAGATACCTTGTAGTTGAATGAGCCTACGCTATTTCCAGCACAACCGTATCCAGTTATTGAATTTCACTTTAATGTTTAAACACATTTTTTTAAAAATAATTTTGTTCTGTTTTGGAAGCCGCCCTATTGTTTTCATGCTGTTCAATGCCAATTCATGAATGGCCCCACTCTCTTGATGATCATATAGATTAGCTTGGGTGCCGTATCGCGCCCACCGCTGCAGCTTGTAGCGTGTGGTTATCATTTTTTTTTTATTTACGTGTAGTGTCCGGATCAGCTTGCGCGTACCACGACTTTAACAGATTAATTCAGGTCATATGATTTGTTTTGCTTTTTTTTTTTTCCAATATTTAGTTAATTTAGAATTAGGCTTCATGATTATTTTTTATTTTGCTTTTTATAAAGTTATCCTAGTCTCATTACCTAGATCATAGATTTGGTGAATTAACCCAAGTTGACTTAGGTAAATGTTTTTATTCTTTTTTAATTTTATCTTTTAACATTAGATATGAATGTTTTTATTCCTTTTTAATTTCATCTTTTAACATTAGATTTACTTATCCCGAGTTGTAGTTTAACTTTGTTTTTTTTAGTTGATTTTTTTTCTTTTTTATTCTTCAATATTTGGTTGATTTGGAATTAGGTTTTTTATTTTTTTCTCTATAAGATTATCCAATTCTCATTACACAGGTAATGAGTTTAACAAGTTAACTCAGATTTTTTTTATAATTGATATATATATATATATATATATATAAGTTAACTCAGATTTTTTTCATAATTGATATATATATAATTTCATCACTTAATATTAGATTGCTTCGGAGTTGAGTTTTATAATTTGTTTTGATTTATTTTCTATAGAGTTATCACAGTCACATAACCTGAGTTGCAAGTTTAACAGGTTAACACGAGTTGACTTGAGTTGTTTGTTTTTTGGTTTTTTTAATTGATTTTTTTTTCAATTTCAGTTTTTTTCAATTTCAGCTTTCAACATTGAGTTAATTGAAAATTGAGTTTCATATTTGATTTTGACTTATTTTCTATGAAGTTAGCTCAGTTTTATGGTTTAAATCACAAATTTAAAAGACATGTCATTTTAAATCTTTTTATTTATATCGAAAGCTGTGTGTGTGTATCTATACAGAGAGAGAGAGAGAGAGAGAGAGAGAGGGGGGGGGGTTCTGCAGCCTTTCTTTGAAAATTCTGGACAAATCATACTGCAATCCATATATATATGTTAGATATTGAATATATATTTGATATAAAAAGTTATCTCACTATTCGATATATCTAATTATCTTCATTATAAATTAAATTTTAACCATACATATTAACAGAACATTTTTTTTTATTTTTATAATCACAGCCGCAGATTCACAATATAGCTAACCCCTGAACCGTTACCAAACATAAATGAAGCTTAAAGCCAGCTAATCTCAAATCAAACGGTCGCATCGGCTAAAGTAACGCCTTAATTTAATAAAAATACCGGAACTGATATTGAATAAAGAATATACAAACAGCTAAAATATATAAAAAAAAAACTACAAATAAAAATTGTAATTTATCTAATTATCATATCGATTGACTCACTGCACATCAATTTATAATAAACTTATTTATAAAGATTCTATTTGCACAGACTTTTCCTGCTAAATAATCATCTATAAAGTAGAAGTCACCATGCTTCCTTGTGAAAAGAAACGTGAAACGGGGACGTGGAATGCCTGGCAGACGAAGCGAGTTGTGTCTGTAACGATGAAGAGTCTCTTATGTACAAGTGGCAGAGCAGACAATAAATAATTAAACGGTGAAAGTAAATAAATGAGTGACACTTGAACGTACGGCTCTAACATGGTTAGACAGTTATTTATATAAGCAATTGTTCATCCAAGATTTTAGAACGGCCGTAATTTATCAGCAACTAAATTACAAATCCGGTTTAAGTTAAGACTCTCAAAATTTCTGCTTAATAAATCCAGTATAAAATAAAGATTATTAAAGACGTCATTTATCAAATATACATAAATAATAATAATAATAGTAAAATATCTTATTTGTAGTTTTTCTTAAGATTCTATTCACCTTAGGACACGGTTATAAACTCAACCATCAATAAAACATGACGTACACTTGTTTATTTACTATTATGTTTTAAGTATTCTTTCAATTTGGTCACGTGAATCCCCTTTTTTAATATGTATAAATTTAGTTTATTGGAAATATCTCTTTTCCTTGCATTTATATTCATGTAAGCAAGAGCATTTACAGGGACGTTTCCATGGATTTTTTTTTTCCGATGGGTGATGGCGAAAAGTTGACCGTGATCAAAAACGTTTTGGCCGTGCGACCGCATCAGCACCGCAAAACCCCCTCCGTAGAACCTTTCGTGGATGCCCCCCCGCATGTTTTATATTTTAGTCATATAAGCAACCCCTCAAAATTGACCTAGACGTTTTTTTTGGTCCCCGGCGCATCATGCACAATTGAAGTAGCGTATAAACCATGCCGAGGAGACCGAGAAATTGCAGGGAAAATAAAAAGTCGACAAAATCCAGCGCGCAGAGTATCTGTTGATGTCCAGGTCATACTGTAAAATCCAGTCAGCAGTATAATAACTCCAAACACAAGGATCAAATCCGGGCATGCTGGCTGTGAAAAGAACCATTACAAAAGCGGGAGAGCTTGGTGAAAGCGACAAAGCCTTTGCTTCAAGCCTCTACATCCGCATCAGTCTTCATTTTCCCAAGATTTTTCCTATTTGAACCTGCTCCGTTCTTCTTCTTTTTTTTCCCGAGTTCGTATGTATGGAATAAAAATAATTTAAATATATAGTTATACAGTTTTATCAATTAACTGGTAATATATAGGCTGAGAGCAAGGGCTTGATACTTGATTAACGAACACTCTTCTGCCTCCCCACCTCCTTTCGAGTCCTTTGATTTTATTTTTAAATCAAGTTTTTGGACGATAAGAAGAGAAATAAACTGCAACTTTTTCTCTCTTTTTTTCCAAGAATGGGTACCGTTAATAAATTGTTTAAGGCGGCTTTACTTGTTCCAACATGCATGCGTAAATTCTCAAGGAAAAAAAAATAACAAAGCAAAGAAATGCGCAAGTAGCCTGTGATGGTCGAGGTTGACATTTGACTTGCAAAAAGCGTTAGAAGTATAATAATTCGGAGGTCATCAATGTAAAATTCGGTCCGAGTTATGATTTATTTGTGAAAATATCCTTCCCAGTTGCCTTTTGATAGTTACAGGAATCACTATTAAAATTTTAAAATTGTTTATGTATTTTGAAAATATTTTTTAAATAGATTTTCCAGCCAAGATTACTATGAAAAACAATTGATAAGAAAATATCAAACAGACTCTAAATTACACTCGTGTACCTCAATAAACTAGTGCAAAAGGATTCAATTTTTTTCCCTGAGACCAAGTCAGATTGCATGCAAGCAATTATTTTACACATCATATATCAAGTCATCTTTATTTGGAAACTATTAAACCATAAACAGAGGATTTGGATTTTGGAACTTATTTTACTAAAAAAAAATTGCTTTCCGTTAGTTTCTTCAATGATATTTGACAGAAAGATGCAATTAACACAATTCTAAAATGTTAGGAGGCGATTCTACAAAAATAAAATAAAATATATCTAATATGGAGATTTCAGCGCTTAGAAGCCTGTAGACAAAGTTGAATACTGACTCACACAAAAGTCCATGTCTTGTTTTCTTTTTATATCTGCAAGTCAATCTGAAAAGGGTTTGATTAACCATCAATTCAAGTGGAAAAGATATCCTTTTATAAAGTTGAAAGGCTCGATGTCGCAGGATTGATTATCAGGAAGTGGAATATCAGGATGCACGATCAACTACTTGAATTCAAAAGGATAGTTCAGGTTTACAAAATGGTCAAAATGGCTATTCAATTAATTAACATTTTATCAGCAACACTATATGGACTGCAACGTTGCCCCAGTGACAGCGTAAGGTATCTAATCATTCCTTTTGTTTTCAAGATTCAAGGAATACGGGCAGCATCGATTACTATATACCAAGTCTGGTTTATATATCATGGCTGGATTGAATTGTCTATAACTTTACTCTAGACCCAGGCAATATAGCACAACCACAACCACAGGCTGCAAAACCACATGTATAACCTTATCAAGTTACTGGAAATGTGAATTCGCAGTCCAGGAAGCTTCAGTAATCCTATAGATCGGGATCATAAATTTTGACAGTTCCAACCAAATCAAGGGCCATTGCAAGTGCTCAAAAGAGATGCCCTGGATAATCCTAAATACAAGCAAGACCATGCTGTGATTGCTCAAGACCATTCCAACAATCTGAAGTTACTGAGATATAAAAATTTTATTAATCAAAATTCAAACATAATAGCTTAAAAAATGGCTGTGATACTAGAAGAAAATAAATACTGACCTTGCATGCATTGCTGCTGTAAGCTATTCCATCTTCTAAAGCATGTGATGAAGCAGGTAGAGTACATTAATTTCCTATCCTTCGAATTCTCTGAAGAAGAAAAGGTTCAAGTAAAATTGAGAAACAATTAAGGGTGATTAGATTACAGGAGAAGAGAACTAGATAAAAAAATTACTGGAAACTAGTGTTGTTTGGAAAAGCCCTTCCCTTCTCAACTCTTCAACCGGGTGAGAATTTGTGCCAACAGCCAACTGCAAGAAACCTACATCATATAAAGGTGGAATACAAACTTTAATTGCATGATTGAGTGGGAAGCGGAAACTGTGCAAAATAAACCATGAATGGTTGTCAAAAATGCACAGCAAAGTGGATCTGTGTGGACAACAGGCTTATCTTTCACAGCAGCCAAACAAAGAGCGAATGCAATTGATCCCCTTTTGGCACCTTGGCCAATGTCTCCACTCATGGGACGGCCATCCAACTTCAATCATAAGGGTTATCAGAGGCTATTTATGGTTTATGATGATGATATTTGAAACATATTTAATGGATGGAAATACATAGGGAAAACCTGCATTAATTGAGGCATGCGAGACGAGGTTCCACCATTGTGTTCATTCGAAGATATTGTTGAATCTCCAGAAAGGTAAGCTAGGCTGTACGCATTAATAATCACCTAGAACTCAATATGACAGCCAGCTGGTTTACTAGCTCCTGATCCATCTGATAGATACTATTGGATTTGCTTTGTATACTGTTTAATTGTCTTGGAATCATATTTAATGGATGGAAATACATAGGGAATGCCTGCATTAATTGAGGCATGCCAGACGAGGTTCCGTCATTGTGTTCATCGAAGATATTGTTGAATCTCCAGAAAGGTAAGCTAGGCTGTACGCATTAATAATCACCTAGAACTCAATACAACAGCCAGATGGTTTACTAGCTCCCGATCCATATGATAGATACTAATGGATTTGCTTTGTATACTGTTTAACTGTCTTGGAATCATATTTAATGGATGGAAATACATAGGGAATACCTGCATTAATTGAGGCATGCCAGACGAGGTTCCGCCATTGTGTTCATCGAAGATATTGTTGAATCTCCAGCATACGGTAAGCTAGCCTGTACACATTAATAATCACCTAGAACTCAATATGACAGCCAGCTGGTTTACTAGCTCCCGATCCATATGATAGATACTGTTGGATTTGCTTTGTATACTGTTTAACTGTCTTGGAATCAGACCTTCCACTTGTACGTATCTCTATAGCATCGACATTATTTGTTTTATGGAGTTCAGCAATGGCAGCAGCATCTCTTACATATGCAGCCATTCCTAGATCAATTTGAACGTTAGTTTAAACTGAACATACTGCAAACAGTGAGAGAGGGAAGCTACAAGAAGTTTGTGATTTTACAAGGAAAAAGGTTTGAAGAGCTCTTCACGGAGAAAATGGAAGGCCGAAGTATTGGAAAAGAGTCGCATAAAAACTGACAAGAAACCACCAACTTATTTCATCATATGGGCAAAATGGAAAGCAACGACCACAGCCACAATGGCATTCAGACATCACTCCCCCATGCAATATTAATGTCAATTACAGACAAATATATGAATTGTGGTGATAATATGGGGTGAATATCCATAAACTTCGGAACATATATCATTTAAAGACCTTTAATACATCTAGTGTTTCAGCACCACAGGAAAATTCTGTTATTGATTGATGTTGCTTAATGATGTTGCACATGCAAGAAAAATAGTCTCACAGATCCTTAAACAGTCCACTGGACACTCGGGATCAAATTCTGTTAATAAAAGCACTGAACTCGGCATCACAATCAGATGAAGCCACAGAGCTCATGCTCCTTACATGGTCATTAATTGTCCATCTCTTGGGTTGACAACTGAAACCTAGATTGCCCTTTATCTAAAGCCAATTTCAAATTCGAATAAGATTATAAAGATACGGCCACACAAATTCACACTGGAAAGCGGCTGTCTATCAGCTTGGGTTTGGAACAATAGGAAAGTTTGTACTATTCAATGAAGAATCTCTTAAGACTAAGTTAATGGTGGTTAATAATACATCAACTAATAAATCACATGATTCAAAATAAGACTAGAATAAACAGAATTCAATCCCAATTTCCACGCGAGAGCTAAGTGTCCCCGTAACATCGTATGGAAATCCTAAAAATGACCACAACTAATCAGTTAAATTTATACGATCTTTTAGTTAATTAATTGCGATTTTTTAGTCAGGAAGTTAAGCTAAATTAGAAAAAGGGAGCCTGTACCAGCTTTCTGAAAGTGAAGATCTTCATCATCATTAACACTGATCATAACCCAAGGCTTTCGAAGGTAAACAATCTCTCTTGCTGCTTCAATGCCTTCATTTACAGCATTCACCACTGACGCATCGACAGCACGATCACTGCAATCAACTGCAGAATCATTCACCACACAGAGAATCAAGAACCCGCCTTGTCGACATCAACATTCAAAAACTTATGCGTGACTTTTTTCGTTTACCTCCAGCTAGAGTGTAAACTAGAGAGAGATTCCTGATATCAACATCATCCTAAATAAAGGTAAAATTAGAAAATAAATCATTAAGTTGACAATTATAAATGTCTATATTAATCATGAATTCACGAGAGTTTAGAGTTAAGTGTGTTGAGATACCTCCACAAAATAAGCTTGGCCCAGTTTCCCTTTTGCAGTGATTCTTGAGGAGTCAGCACAACTGAAGTAACTAAGAGATGGTAATGGTAACCACTGTACATATCATGTTAGGTTGGAGTGGTTTCTTGTTGGTTTGAAAATATACATACCCCACCTATTATTTATGAATTCCAGAAAATATATATTTATTCAGGTCAAGTTGGATTAATATCCATCATATTTAGAACAAATTATTCCTATGAGGAACTCTAGTTCTCTTACTGGATTTCTTATATTTTAAAGAATAATTATTAAATTCGACCCTGCTTTATAGGTTAACAAATTAAACTTGACTCCTAATTTAGTTTTGATTTAAAATAAAATTAATTTATGATTTGGTTAATTTAATCAAATTTTAAATTGATTTTCTCAATCTTTTCCCCTTCAAAATGAACTTTGAGTTTTTTTTTTTAAAAAGTAACTCGTTTTAATTATATTGGATTAAATGAATTAATCCTTTTAAATCATTACTTGGGTTTTAAATATATCGTTGTTCCTATATGTATTTGTTTTAAAATAAAAAAATAAGCTTTGAGTTTTTTCTAAAAAGTAACTCGTTTTAATTATATTGGATTAAATGAAGTAATCCTTATAAATCATTACTTGGGTTTTAAATATATCGTTGTTCATATATGTATTTCTTTTAAAATAAAAAAATAAAAATGAAGACTCTCTGTAAACATGTTATAAATATATAATTTTATTTTGATTAATCTATATAAAATAATATTGATTTATGTGACTGGAGCAGTTAATTAGATATTGTTTCTATGATTTATTTTACCTCAAATGAAAAATTAAAAAGCTGAAAGATTTTCTAACCATGTGATTATAGTAAATAAATTAATTATAAAGTAAATAGAAATAGTATTTTGAAAGTACGATAATAGTTTTTTTAAATTAATATATTAAAATATTTTGAAAATATTAAAAATATATTAATTTAAAGTAAAATAAAAAATAAATTTTTTTAAAAAATATTCTTAAAATACAATGATAAATGTAGAAGCAACCACAATATTGAGGTAGTATTTGGTATTGCGGTAGCTGTTATGGTTATGGTTTGAAAAAAATTATTTTATTAAAAATACTTTTAGTTGAGGTTGGTTTGAAAAAATAGATGTTTGATTAAAACTGTGGTTGAAATTGAGGTTGAAGAAAAAATAATTTAATGTGTTTGATTAAAAATGTTTTTGAAACTGAGGTTATAAAATGATTTTAAAAAATATATATTAATATTGATAGTTTTTAATTTAAATACTGTTAATTTAACTACTGCTATTATATTATGAAATAAATAATATTTTATATAAAATATTTTTATTTTTTTATTAAATTATTTATGATCCTATTACATACGAATTTCATCAAACAAGAACTATAGTTTCCATGATTTTTTAAGCGTGCAATAAAATCAGGTAAAATATCATCAAAAATAAAATTAAAATCACGATCAAATTCTGCAAATATCATGCTATTGTGTGATCTCTTTCTAATTTATGTAGTGTTGTTAAATAATATTAAATACTAATTTTTTTAATAAAATATAATTTTTTTTTTTGCAAAGAGTGAATTAATAATATTTCACTCTCCATTGTTCACAGCAATGGAGAGTGAATTTTTGTAGAGACTGAATTAATTCACTTTCCAAATAAAAAGAGCACCTAAAAAACTAGAGGAAGAATAAAGAAAAAATAAAAGAGAGGAAAATGGTTTTAGTAGACCAACCCTCTATCATTGTCATCATCATCTTTAAATGTAGCAACACTTACGAAGACTAGAGGAAGAATAAAAGAGAAACTATTAAGAATAGCTATCGTGGTTGAATAAAAGAAAAATAGTTTCAATAGGCTAGCCTAACTGTCTCTCTTGATACCTCTAGCAGCGCCACATTCAGGTAAAAATAGTTCTTATGATTTTCTCATCTTGATAAAATAAAAATTAAAATTTTTTTAAAATATTCTTAAAATACAATGATAAACATAGAAGCAACCACAATGTTGAGGTAGTATTTGGTATTGCAGTAGCTG